TAATAAGAGCAGACAGCCCCTGTCCCAGCCTGGATCCACACCCACCACGGCACTCCCACCTATGCTTTGATTCAGGTGACAGTGGCAGGAAAGGGTCTGATCCTGTCACGCTGGAATGAAAAGTGACATTACGAGGCATAACCTGCATGGCATACCTTCATGTCACATCTTGGGAGGAGTAGGGGGTGTCAGAGGTGGGTAAGGTCCTTAACTGATATGCACCAGGCATCTGGGAGAAACAAAAAAAAATGCAAGCCAGGAGTAAACCCAGGCTCCCTGGAGGTCCTGCTCAGCAACCCCCATCGCTGTGCCACTCTGGTACAGCCATGGCATGATTGTGTCCCTTCTGGAAGGGGGAGGTTAATCCGCCACTTCTTCCCCCAGCCAAGCCGAGGTGGCCATGCCTGGCCTGCAGCCCCCCAGGAGCACCTCCTGCTTCTCCCTGCACCACCCACTGCCACCACTGCTTCCCGGGCACCCCATGTCCACCCACTGCCATGGTGGACAGCGCTGGGCCCAGCTCCAGCTGCCGTCCAGCCCAGGCCGGGGCAAGGACGTGGAACCAAGGTGGATACACATGTGGTTATGGCGGGCAGGGGCCCAACACCCACCTACTGCCACAGCACCTCCCTGACTTCACGCAGCCCCAGCTGGTCTCACCCTCCTTCTTTTCTCTTCAATTTTTCGGTTATATGCAGCTAGGCGGGACGCTGGCGTAGCAGAGCTTTAAAGCCTGTGTTGTCTGGCAGTTTCTGACTGGGAAGGACTGGTCGGTAAGGACATGGTGGCTGGTTGAGCTGGGGACAAGCTTGGTGTGCCAGCGCAGCTGGATCTGGGGCTGCTTCTCGCCAGGCAGCCCTGCTGCCAGCATGGGCCCTGCTGCTGGTGTGGGCCCTGCAGCCCCTCCTGGCAGCTGAGGACGAGGGGCTGTGCCCACGGCATGGAGGGGAAGAGTCAAGCACTGCCACCCGCCGCCCAGCGGGGAGGAAAGAGGACCAGGATGCCAGCACTCAGCTTTATAGGCTTTTATTTTTCAATCCGTACAGAACGCCGTTGCTACTGTAATAAGGCATCAAATGCACTGTTGAAAAGCTCATGATGGACTGTGACGTTTTGCCCTGTTGTGGGTCAAAAAGGAGTTTTACAAGCTTAAATCGGTTGCTTTCCCAAGGCGGTAAATTTTATATTCATCACAGACAGCTTTTTAAAAGAATTACAAAGATTAAAAAACTGTAAACATATCAAAACCAGCAACAACCCAGCGTAGCTTCCTAGGCGAGAAGTCTCAGGCATTTCGGCGTCGGGCTGGCAGTGAGGAGGCGAGGTTGGCTGTGGCCGGGGGCCGCGTTGGGCGCCCGCTGGGGCCGGCAGCTCGTGGCGACGGGCCGCCTCTTCGGTGAGAGTCCCCGGCAGGTGCCAAGCAGTTCCCAAACAGCCGGCCTTGGCCAAAAAAACGCCTAACCGAGAAAAAAGAACTGAGCAAACCAGTCAGCAGGGAGCTGTTTGAGCAGCAGGGAGGCAGCCGCTGGCTGCCGGCGCCTGGCCGTGGCATGGCTGCAGGCCTCCGGGTCCCTCCGGCGGGAAGGCCGAGGGCAGGGCAGGGCCCGGCCCGTGGGACACGTCATGAGGTAGAAAATGGGAAAGTGTCACGTTTCCATGTTAGGGTCGGTCAGAAATAAACTGACTGACGGCACAAATCCCGATATGTTTCTGGGGTACTACAAGGGGGGGACCGAAAACCCACCTGGTACGCCCCAAAATTTAGATCCCCAAAGAAGAAAGCTCTCCAATGATCCATGCGACAACTTTAGCCCAGGCAACGAAAAAAAACAGAACAACCACCCAACAATTTTTCTCACACTTGTACCCTTAAAGCCTTTACATTTGGAGCAGGGGAAATCAAATTGTGAGGGTGCACGAGAGGGCAATTAATTTCCCTTGGCCTCAGCCTTTGGTACCACCTTGTGTGAGGTGAACGATGCGACGGCTCATTCACCAGGCAGCAGGCTAATACATTCATTTTCCACCAGACAGCAAGTGTTTGGTCTCGGTCGCACCACACAGCATGAGAACCTGAGAGTCCAGAGGTTTTGTATCGCAACACCAACCCACACAGTCCCGTAACTTGTAAACGTATCTTGTTGGGTGGTCAGAGAAATATCCTGAGAGCTTTTATCTGCTAAACTCCTGCACTTTAAAGGCCTTCCTTCACCTCTTTCATAGTACACACTAACACCAAAATAAAAAAACTGTGTTAGTCCTGTTACTTAAGTTTTCTTACTCCTGACACTTCTGCAGTGTATATTTAGATTATTAGGTTGACTTACATTTCCTTAAAATGCTCAGGGAAAATCTGAGGGTTCATTTAAGTATTGCAGGCTCATGATCTATGACAGGCATTTTACGAAGTGCCAGAAAACTTCTCACTTGATAATAACATACTGACAGTCAGGGGAGCGTTCCCTTTTCTAGTGCTAATAATCAGCATTAAGGCATGCCACGGTTCCTACAAGAAATCTGTGATCCTTACAGCTTTAGCTGTCATCTTTCTGTAATAATGGAATGTACTCCAATTTTATGCACATGTATCATTAAAAAATAAAAATAATGGCTCTCAAGACCACCAGCCTTGGTATTAGAGCTTCTGCTGTGTAGGTGAATACAGAAATTCCCATTAGGGGCCCAGGCTGGTGAAAGCATTTTCATCCCCCACGATGTCCGTCCCTTGCCCCATGCCATCTTGCTGCCCCTAGCTCAGCACCATTTGCCTTCTCAAGGCATGGGCTTCTCAGGACCTCTGGAGGCCATGGCCAATCCCTTCCCATCCTCAGTGAAGGACCGGCGCAGCGCTGTCCCCACTGCCCCAGCTCAAGTAGGTGGCAGGCCCTGCAGGCAGTGTCCTTGTACCCACCAGCAGGCAAAGGCCAGCTAAAGAGGAGCTTTCCTCCTCCATGTCCTGCTTCTCAGGCTATTTCCTTCCTCACTCACACCAATCACAGCAGGCTGAAGGCTCCTCCTCACATCTGGAAGCTATTCCATTTATTTACCCTAGAAATTCCATCCTGAATCCCTGATGACACATCCAGAGGGATGTAAGCCCTCCAAAGAGAGCTGTGGAGATGATGGCCACTGTTGAGTCCCTGCCCGCAAACACTCTCCGCATCATGACATAAACTGGCAAAATCATCTACTAGGCAGCAGCATCGCCTAATAAGGCTGTTCCTTTAATTACCAAGTAACGCTGAACTAAAGCGGCGGTTAGAGCAAATAACATCTGAAGCAGCATCTCTTTTGCAGGGCCAACGTTAAAGCCTGGGTACCACATTACACTATTTACAGTGACCAAAGGCATGAACTTGGAGCAGTGCAGCTCCATGGCCCCTCGGTCGAAGGCATCCACGCCAGCACCCATGGCCAGCAAGCAGGAGGGACTGAACCAGGTGAGTGCCAGACACAGGTGCTGCACGTGTCTCCTGACATGAACAGCCAGAGAAGAGGGAATGAGGAACCAAGTGGCAAAATAGCAGTCAGCCTCTCCACATGAGGACCCCACATTTCCACCTGCCACTTGTTATTCTGAACCTTGTGCTGCCACGTACTCCTGGGTAAAGGGGGCATAATGATCTCCTCCCCTCTTCCCAAGAGAACTCTTCTCAGATATGTCACAGTGGGAAAAAAGTATCATGTTAAAAATATTTGATATTCCTGATATTTGAGACTTAGCTCATGACTGACAAGGCTGTGACAGTGACTCACGTGTTTCTACTAAGACTCTGCAGCCAGGGGCTGTACAGACAGAGCTCTTCACTCATGTTTGGCTTTGGCAGGGACACATATATATATTAATATACATATATATGTTAACAGGAGATATATATAGATATTAATCACTGCTCAGTAAGAACTGACAGCGGTGCATACAACAGTCTTGGCTGGTTTTCTCAGCACTGCAAGAACACAACTTTAATGTTCCACAGAAACTGGCTGACAATAAAGTAAACAGCATCAGTGGTACAGGTTTTTGGCTACTGTGCCACAGAACTGTGATTAATAACAACATGTACCCTTGATCATCCCCTACATTAAGTGAGTCCCATGTCAGCCAGTAAACCACCTGATATTTAACCTTTGTATTTCCTGACAATTTATTTTTTACAACTAAATCAGTTTTTACTGAACGAGCCCCAGAAAGCTCCTTCCTGACCTTTCCTTGCTGGTTATGAGAAGGCTGACAGCCTAGTGACATAAAACTGAAGTTTCAAAAAGGATGAGTAAGACGCAGACAGCCCCAGTATAAGCAAAGCCCTGCAGCTGAGCTTGACTTTCTTCTGGCATCCATACTGAAGGAGAAGTGTTCAGTCTCAGCATCCCCATGCTTTTTCACTCTGTGGGTCTTTTGAGACTCCAAACAAGATGTCAGTTAATTCAAGTTATAGCAGTTTTCGTACAAAGACATCTGTCCACCAGGAACTAAACTTCTTTTATATGGGTCACTATAGCTATCAGAAGTTAATGACTATCAGTCATTGCTAATCTGAACTGAAATGGAGCCACTGACCTCAAGCTGAAAGAGCCTTTTGTCTCCTATCAATACCACGAGCCATATGGTTCCCTGCCCTTTGCCTCTCATTTTATATTTTAAATAATCATCACTAATTGTACAACTGTTTGAAAATATGGGAGGTTTGTGGCAAGTCATGACCAAGAGGCATTCTTTTTTCCCTTAGCTCTCACTTGACAGAAGAGAAGGGATCAGCTTAAAATTAAATGATAAAAAAGCATCTTTCTTAATTAAATATTAGCCCTGCTATTTGATTATTGGTCCTACTTCTTAACAGTCTACCAAGTAGACTGTTAATAATCCTGCAGGCTGCAATAATTAACAGCTTCCAAAGTGTCAAGGTCATTCCTGTTCTATATGGGAGTAATAAGAAAATTATATAGGCAAGACATCAATGGAATGTTTTATATTAGGATAAAGGAGTAGCTGAGGAACCTACTTATGACAAATCTTTTTTTATTCAGTGGTTTTCATTACTTTGTATCAGTTGCATTTTCTCTGGCACGTTTTCCCTTTACAACAAGTGCTCATATACTGCAAACATTCGACTATAGAGTTTAAGAAAAAAAATGTTCTTGTAAGACAAATAAACTGCATCACCAGCTATCTTTAGCCGCATCTGTTTTCTTTAATGAAACATTTTCCTGTTGAAATGCTGCCTTAAAAATCACAACCACACTAATTATCTATGGCAAGTGCATCTTCCTCAACTAACGACAGCTCGAGCATATTATCATTTGCACCAGACTTCATTCTGAAATTGAAAGACCCATAGAGCTTCGCAGACTCCTTGGAGGACGCAAACCTGCTCCTCCGGTACAGCTCCCCTTTCCACATGGACATCATCAGCAGGCTGGAGAGCACCACTCCCCCCAGGGTTAAGAGACACAGCCCAGCGATAACACAGCGGTCCAAGTGAGCCCCGATCCTAGCGCTCTCGTTCTCCAGCCTCTCCATCTCCCGGGCAGCCACGGTGTTGGGATCCACAGTCACGTCTCTGGGTACCACGTAGGAAATGATCACCAGCAAAATGCCACTAACCAGGAACAAAATGGCACTAATGAACCCGTAGTCCACAGATTTCCCAGCCGTCGCCTCCGAGGCAGCGTCGTCCTCCTCAGAGACCAGGGAAGGAGAATCATGCACCCACTCGGGCGGCAGCTCCCTGGGGGGGACTTCTTGCGTGCTCCAGGTTCACATTTTCATCCACATAGGTGAATGACGTCTCGAGTTCCTGGGCACAGCAGCAGGCTTTCTTCTTCTCTCCGTCCCCTTCCCCGGGCAAGCGCTCGGGCAGGTGGCAGGGCCGAGAGGTGCCGGGGGGCGCAGGGTGCTCCTGGGGCGAGGTGCCCCAGGGGGAAAGCTGGGGTGCCGGGGGGGGCTCAGCCACAGGGCCCTCTGCAAGGGCTTCGCAGCACAGGGCTGCCACGGCAGAGGGAGAAGCCCCTCTGAATTCATCAGCTGCTGCTGCTGCTGCTGCTGCTGCTCATAGGGAGGGGAGTGCAGGCTCCAGCCAGCAGCGGTGCCCAGGGGCGCCTGCCTGCTCTCCTCGGCCAGGTAGAGAAGCTCCATGCAAGCCATCGACCTCGTCCTGGCCAGCCCCGACTCCCGGGCTACCGCATCCTTCGGCAAACGCTGCCCTTGACCCGCTGAAGTGGCTTCACGGTACCAGAGCTGCTCTTCTACTCTTTCACCAACGTTTTGTTAGGGACATGGCTTGTGTCAGCTGTTAAATGATTAAACAAATCCTCTCTGACATTCATTTCTTTTCGGTCTGCAAATGAAAGAGCAGAGGGGAAAAAAAAACACAACAACAACAAAACCAAACCCGACAACCTCATGATGATACATTAATAAACCAAAAAGAAGATAACGCAAACGTAATACATCAGTCTTCCTCTCAACTGTTCGAGGGGAGATGGCAAACACGATTGTTTTAACCACGCATTTAAAACTGCAATCCTCTTGCAGATCCAAAATCTATTAGGGAGTCTAATCAACCTTTGACACCAATATCCAATTAAGGCAGTAAGCCATCTACAGAGCACAGGATAGCCAGAATAAGAGCGTAAAATGTCAGAGAAAAGAGACGTATAGTCTTTTAGAAGCAAGTAACTCCCCCACCCCCTTCCAAATAAAGAATTTTAAATTCAGATTCTCAGTCTAATTAGAAAGAAACACGCAAATCCCATGTAGCTCAATAATCCAGGATCTGTATTCTCCGGTGGAAATCTGATAATCCTATGGGGAAAGCAGTGCTTTCCTATAGCAGATCTCCAGTTTGATTAAGAGCTTTCGGAATGAAATTATGCCTCAAAGACTGATGACTCAAAGGCGGATATTACTTCTCATTTGCAATTAATTCGTTATTACCCCCTTCTTCTCCGCCCCACCCCCCCCCCGAGGCTGACTGCCCGGTGTCATTAGGAAAAGCCTGCAACCCGATAAATGTGTCGCCTGCGTAGGAAACACACGTGCGCCTATAGCATATACGTGATCGGTAACAGACGCTTCTCACTCACGCTCTTCTCGGGACCTCGGCAACCGGCCACGCCAGGAAACGCCGTCCCCGCCGGCGCGGGGGGATGCTGGACCCGCACGCAACTGTGCGACCCGAGTGATACAGAGGTGATGGGCGCGCAGACACGCACAGACACACACGCACACCCCACCAGGCAGCGCCACGCCGCCTCCTCCTCCTCCTCCGCCTCCTCCTCCTCCTCCTCCTCCGCCTCCACCTCCTCCCGCGGGGCTCTCACCTGCCCGGCACGGCTGGTCCTCCCG